GCTAATAACTGGCAATGGAAAAGGTCGCCCATGTATAATTTCAAATGGGGACAGTTTGTTATTTCCTTGTGTTATTCTCATCCACATTTTGACTAGGCCTACACATTCTGGCCATGGTCTGCTAGTTTCTTCCATTGTTTTTCTGAGCCTTTGTTTTATAGTGCCATTCGTTCTCTCCACTAATCCTGCACTCTGTGGATGGTAGGCACAGTGGTGTTTTAAACTGAAACCTAGTGCTTCAGATACTTTGCTGATCACGTCATTTACAAAATGGGTTCCATTATCTGATCTCATCAGAGTAGGAATTCCATATGTTGGAATGAAATGGTTGCATGGACACTTTGCAACTGAGATTGCGTCTGCTTTTTTAACTGGGTAGATTTCTGGCCATTTTGAGAAAACATCTATGATTACTAGAGCGTATTTTGAGCCCTGACACTCATTAAATTCAATGAAGTCCATGTGAATTGTATGAAATGGGTGAGGTGGTGTAGGAAAATGTCCTCTTTTTGGCCTTAAGTTACCTTGGGTATTGTGTTTTTGGCAGGTCATACATGTTCTCACATATTCTTTTGCTGAAGTTTCAAAATTTATAGTGTAAAGTTGTCGGGATTCCTCAGATTATCCTTCCTGATGAGCCATGGCTCAAAACCATGGCTCACTAGAGCGGCTGTTTTGTGTAACAATTTGGGAAGAATGGGTTTTCCTGTTATCTTCATTATGTCATCAGTGTCTAGTACTGCTCCGTGTATTAGCCATTGTTTTTGTTCTTTTGGTGGTGCTGCTTTTTGTTCATCCTGCAGTACAGACAGTGGAATAGTGTGAATTTCATGAGTTGTTAGTAAGACTGTGGTTGTTATAGCTGCTGCTTTTGCAGTTTTGTCAGCAAAATTGTTTCCCTTTGTAATTTCAGAGTCATCCTTCTGATGTGTTGCACATTTGCAAATTGCTAAATGTCACATCACATGAGGAGTTTCCTTCCATGTAAACAGATGTGTGCCATGATAAAACCTTCCTCCACACACTAGAAATAAGAAACTAATTTCAACCCTTTTTACATCTTATTCGCTTATTTTACAATCCATTCATTTTTCCAAATCTAGTATCAATTAACTAGTTTGCATATCAGCTTATAATGCGCTAAGTTGACAGGTCAACAGAAATGCACGTTCAAAATATTATCACAAAAAAGAATTTCCTTCATACAAAAAAAAGTTGAGGTTGCTTGTTTTGACAAACTCTCAGATATTTGGTTACCCAGCTCTACACAGGGACACAGCTGCCAGATGAGGGGATGACAACACCCCACTAAACTTTTATGTCTGAGGGGTAACAACAGTAACTCCTGCTGCTTCATCCTCTGTCTATCTGCTTCTTCTTCTCCATCCTGCAGGGCTCGTTCACTGATGACTGCTGTAAAGTGTGCTTTTGTTACCCGTGTGTTTGGGGCCAGATGCATCGTGAGCTGAAGATCACCAGTCATAACAAGTATCATCGGTGCACCTACTAAACCTCAGGTTGTCCTAGATGTGTCCATTGGAGTGTGGATGTTGGACAAGGTGCTGTGGAATAGTAAAAAGCAGTGTATGGATGTGTGTGTGTGTGTGTGTGTGTGTGTGTGTGTGTGTGTGTGTGGTGGTAAAGAAACTCTCTGACACACACACACACACACACACACACACACACACACACACACACACACACTCATGTACAGTACAGATACCTGAAGTACAGTAATGAAGTATTTGTACTTCGTTACTTCCAGTGTTGGGTGTAACGCATAACACGTTACTGTAATTAAATTACTTTTCCACTGAAAAAGTAGAGTAACTGATTACTGTTCATTTTTAGGTATTTTAATTACAGTTACTTACAATGTACTTGCGTTACATTGTAAAATAATTAAACTCGCTGAATATCATTATTTAATTTCAATAATTTATCTTCTAAAGGTAAAAGTAAACTCTGCCGCTTTAACATCGCTGTAGTGCAGCTGCACGTCATTTCGCGCCAGTTTGCTGCATAGTCGTATTCTAAAGCGGAAGATGTCGGACTCGGCTGAAGCGAGTGGCTGTTTTATGAAATGGACATATTCCCGTCTCTTCACTTTTCTGAAACAAGCAGACAAGAACATTACAGTAATATGTAAAAACTATCGGCTGCTGTTAATAGCACGAGTAATCTACTGAAGCGCCTGACACGAGAGCATAGACGAACACTTCTGAGTGATCCTTGTTCATCATCCATGGATAACACCGCGGCAACTCCTGCTAAGCAGGCAAAACTTGATTTTACTTCAGCAGCACAGAAAGCGTCTGAAGGTGAGCTTAAAAAATGATTGCAGGCTACATTGTGGAAGAGATGCTACTGTCAGGTTTCAGTTAACGGACTCAGGCGCAGACCGGGACTCCTTACAGGATTTACAGATTTTATTTACACAACGACACCAGGTGATGCTATTTACAAAGTGCTGGAGGGAGGGGAGGGGGGTCCAGGGTTCCGAGGTATGTGAGGGAAAAGACGGGAATCTGACGTCCTCCAAAGGCTCTCTCTCTTCACTCCCCACACTGGGGAAACACCATCCACTCACTCGTCCACGGGATGACAGGCAGGCAGGGAAAGGTCCAGGATAGATCTGTACACAGAGATTATAGTTAGAGGCGAACAGACGGAACGAACTCACAGATCCTTATTTACAATCTACTGAGCGACTGACGCTGATAACTCAACGATCCAGCGACGAGTGACACAGTGCTGCTGTCTTAAATCGGCCTTGTGATTATCCCGATCAGCAGCAGGTGCGTGGGCCAGGGGCGGGAGCCCATAATGAGCATCGCCCCGGCAGGAGAGAGAGCAAGAGAGAGAGAGAGCGAGAAAACATGTTGCCTAATACAGAATCAGCTGGTGAGGCACAGGGACCATGACAGTACCCCCCCCTCAACGGGAGCCCCCCGGCGACCCACCAGGCTTATCCGGATGCAGACGATGGAACGCCCGCAGCATGCGCCGGTCCAGGACGGCCGCCCGAGGGACCCAGGACCGCTCCTCCAAGCCATAGCCCTCCCAATCCACCAGGTACTGGAAGCCACGCCCCGCCGCCGAGAATCCATGATACGGGTGATCGAGTAAGCCGGCAGACCGTCCACGAGCCGGGGGGGAGGAGGGGGCCTGGAAGGCGGGCACAGAGGACTGGACCGGAGAGGTTTAACCTGAGACACATGGAAGACATCGTGTATCTTCATGTTGCGAGGCAGCTTGAGCTTAATAGACACAGGGTTAACCAAAGCCGAGATCTCGAACGGGCCGATATAGGCAGGAGAGAGCTTCCTGGATTCCGCCCGGATGGGAACGAAGCGTGTGGAAAGCCATACCTTCTGCCCAACAGTATAGGCGGGAGCGGAGGACCGGTGGCGGTCAGCGAAGCGTTTGTTGCGGTCCTTGGTGCGTAACAACGCAGCCCGGGTGGCCTTCCACACCCGACGACACCTACGCAGATGCGCCCGGACGGATGGCACAGAGTGTTCGCCTTCGATGGAGGGAAAAAGAGGCGGCTGGAACCCCAGAGAAGCTTCGAAAGGGGACCGGCCCGTGGCGGAGGAGGTCATGCTGTTGTGGGCGTACTCGATCCAGGGCAGTTCCTCGCTCCAGACGGCCTGGTTGGAAGAGACGACGCAGCGCAGGGCCGCCTCCAACTCCTGGTTCGCCCGTTCGGACTGGCCATTGCTCTGCGGATGATAACCAGAGGAGAGACTGACCTTAGATCCCAATGAGGTGCAGAACTCCCTCCACACACGGGACGTGAATTGAGGACCCCGGTCAGACACGATGTCATCTGGAATGCCGTGCAGGCGAAAGACATGGGTGGTGAGCAGGCGAGCAGTCTCCAATGCTGTAGGCAGCTTGGGCAGAGCAACAAAGTGAGCCGCCTTAGAAAAGCGGTCAATGATCGTGAGTATGACCGTATTACCTGCAGATGGCGGGAGGCCAGTCACAAAATCCAGAGAAACATGAGACCATGGTCTGGAAGGCGTGGGTAAGGGATGAAGCGGACCCGAGGGTGGCTGGTTTGGGGTCTTGTTTCGAGCGCAGGTTGTACACGCGGAGACGTATTCTTTGGCGTCCCGGCTCAGGGTGGGCCACCAAAAGTAGCGCTGCAGGAAAGTAATTGTGCGGTGTATTCCTGGGTGACAGGAGAAACGGGCTGTGTGTGCCCACTGTAATACCTGAGGCCTGACAGGTTGGGGAACGAACAGGCGCCCCGCAGGGCCGCCTCCAGGATCCGGTTCGGCTCTCTGAGCCTCGCGAATGGCCGACTCGATTTCCCAGGAGACAGCCCCCACCACACAGGTGGCCGGGAGGATGGGAGCAGGGTCCGCCGGGTCTTCGGAGGTGGAGAATTGTCGAGACAGGGCGTCCGGCTTGACGTTGCGGGATCCTGGCCTGTAAGTGATTGAAAAGTGGAACCGCGTAAAAAACAGAGCCCACCTTGCTTGTCTGGCGTTAAGCCTCTTTGCGGTTTGCAGATATGCCAGATTCCTATGGTCTGTCCAAACGATGAACGGTTGGGCAGTGCCCTCCAGCCAGTGCCTCCACTCCTCCAAGGCGAGCTTGATGGCAAGAAGTTCCCGATCGCCAATGTCGTAGTTGCGTTCTGCGGGGGTGAGACGACGGGAGAAAAAGGCACACGGGTGGAGCTTACCATCCCTCTGTTGCGAGAGGACCGCTCCTACTCCCGTGTCGGATGCGTCCACCTCCACCACGAACTGCAGGGTTAGGTCGGGCTGGACCAGAATGGGTGCTGAGGCGAATCGCTCTTTCAGCTCCAGGAAGGCTGATTGGGCAGCATCGTTCCACTGAAAAGGAACCTTGGGAGAGGTCAATTGTGTTAAAGGCAGAGCTACCTTGCTGTAGTCCCGGATGAACCGCCTATAGAAGTTAGCGAAGCCGAGGAACCGCTGCAGCTGCCGTCGGTTGGGGGGTTCAGGCCACTCCACCACGGCTTTCACCTTAGCTGGGTCAGGACGTAGGTCTCCCTGCTCGATGACGTAGCCTAAGAAGGCAACTGTGGACACGTGGAAGACACATTTCTCACCTTTTACGAACAACCGGTTTTCCAGCAGGCGTTGCAGAACCTGTCTGACGTGGGTCTCATGCTCTGACAGTGACTTGGAGAAGATCAGGATGTCGTCGAGGTAGACGAAGACGAACCTGTTGATGAAATCCCTCAAAACATCATTAACGAGTGCTTGAAAAACTGCAGGAGCATTAGAGAGGCCGAACGGCATAACCAAGTATTCAAAGTGTCCAAGGTGAGTATTGAAGGCGGTCTTCCACTCGTCGCCCTCTCGGATCCGAACTAAGTGATATGCGCTCCTCAAGTCCAATTTGCTGAAAACTGTCGCCCCCTGGAGCAGCTCAAAAGCAGAGGTCAGAAGTGGGAGTGGATATTTGTTTTTGATGGTTATGTTATTTAACCCACGGTAGTCGATGCACGGGCGGAGAGACTTGTCTTTTTTCTCGACGAAGAAAAACCCTGCTGCTACGGGCGATGAGGAAGCGCGGATCAAGCCGGCGGCGAGGGACTCTGAGATGTATGACTCCATAGCCTCTCGCTCCGGTAGAGAGATGCTGTAGAGACGGCTAGTAGGCAATGGCGCGCCAGGGAGTAAGTCGATAGCGCAATCGTACGGTCGGTGAGGAGGCAACGACTGGGCCCGGTCCTTGCGAAACACTTCGGCGAGATCATGATAAACAGGGGGCACTCCGGACAAATCGGAGGGCGCGGTCGACTTGGCGAGGGAGGCTGGTGTGTGAGGCGGTGAGGCGGATTTAAGGCAGGTCATATGGCATTCCTCTCCCCACCCCGTAATGCGTCCCGTAAGCCAATTAATGCACGGGTTATGTTGACGAAGCCAGGGGTGCCCGAGAACGAGCGGCGTCCGAGTGGCCTTGAACACAAAAAAACATATTTCCTCAGTATGGTTGCCAGACAGAGTAAGAATAACGGGCTCAGTGACGTGAGTAATGTCAGGTAGGCGCTGGCCGGACAAAGCAGTGACATGCAAAGTGTGGGGAAGAGGTTCCTGCCCTAGCTGAAGGCGGTCTGCTAACTCAGAGTCAATAAAATTCTGTTCCGCCCCTGAATCTATCAAAACGGAGAGAACATGACCTTTGGTGTTGACCGTGAGCTGGGCAGACAGCATTAGCCGTGGAGGAGATTTGTCTTGGCTGAGACCGCCCACCAGCACTCCTACCGTCACTGGTGGGCGCGACCTTTTGCTCGAGATGGGCAAGAGGCGACCACATGTCCCTTGTGGCCGCAATAGAGGCACTCACCGGCAGAGATACGGCGCTGGCGTTCCGCGGCGGAGAGATGCGAGCCTCCAATCTGCATGGGTTGCTCTCCTCCGTCTGCGCTCTCTGCCTGCCGGGAAGAGCTGGGCTCCGAGGTGGAGCCAGCCCTCCACTGCCCCGTGGCCTCCTGGGAATTGTAGTGCCGCGGCAGACGACGAGCTCGCAGCCGGTCATCCACCTTAATACATAAAGCCATTAACTCGGTAAGAGAGTCGGGGAGATCTCGCATAATGAGTTCATCTTTCACCTCTTCACGAACATTGTTGAGCAGTGCACTCCGTAAGGCCTCCGGGCCCCAGCCTGTCTCTTCAGCCAAAATCCAAAAATCAATAGAATAGTCAGACATGCTCCGCTTCCCTTGTTTATAGTTCAGCAGACGAAGCGCGGCGACTTCAGCGCCTGAGCCTTTATTGAACACAGTCTGGAATTTAGACAGGAAATCAGCATAGGCAATCCCGGGATCCGAGCTAAGCACGACCTGAGCCCACTTTAAAGCCCGGTCCCGCAGCAACTGGACAAAAAAGGTTATTTTGGCACCGTCGTTGTTATGGAAGCGCCGCTGCTCACGGAACACAAGAGTACATTGAGCCAGAAAACCAGCACACTTGTCCGACTCACCCGTAAAAGGTTCCGGCGTGGGCAGGGGTCCGTCCGAGGGTGGCAGAGGTGCCGGAGGTGCGCTCGCAGCGGCAGGCGCAGGCTCCTGGGGGGCGGGAGCCGCCGGCCGGGGATCACTCTCCAGAGGTGTTAAGCGAGCGACCGCCTGCGTAAGCGCCGCCATTTCGTGGTGGAGCCGCTCGAGCATTTGCTCATGTCGAGCCAGAGCAGCTCCCTGAGCGATGAGTGCCTGAGCGACAGGGTCCTGAGCGGCTGGGTCCCGACCTGCTGAGTCCATGATGGCTGGATCGTTCTGTCAGGTTTCAGTTAACGGACTCAGGCGCAGACCGGGACTCCTTACAGGATTTACAGGGGCTGGCTCCAGCTGGATATCGGAACGGCGGTCCGGAGCACAGGATTTGTCTGGACGTGGGATGTGTGTTGAGGTGGCAGGTGACAGAGAACCTGTCCGGCGTCCCTGAGCCATCGGCTTTTTTACAACCGCGCTGTCCGGCCGGCCGGGGATGCTCTCGGATTTGATGGGGCGCGTCCCATGACACCCGGACTACCAGCGTCGGCGCCGCTCGCTGCCCGCGCTCGCACGTTCCAGCGTAGAACGTTTCCAACTTGGGGGCCCGACCCACCTCCCAACCTTTTTTCTTACTACTTGTCAACTCTGTGATTGCGATCATAGGGAATCTAACTTTTGTGTGCGGAATCACCACACCCACACCCCGAAACCCCCTACCTCTCCTTCCGCCCTTCTTTCTCCTTTAATACCTCTACCATCACGTCCCCCCTCTGCTCCGCAACTCTCAGAACCTACGATCACTAACCCCTTGCACCGCTGTGCCCGGCCCCGACCGCCCTTCACCCACTCCCCACCAAGACGCACCGCTCCCACTCCCCCAACACTCCCCCCTGTCCTTTCTCATCTGCCTTTACGCGTTCTCTCTTTCTTTCCCATCCCCCCAACCGCTCCTCACCTCCTCTTTCTTGCTATGGTCGTGGTGTCGGCTGGTTTTTGGGCGGCATTTGGAGGGCGGGGTGGGGGGGGGTGAGCTCTCGCCAATCACAGCATCTCTTTCTCACATCATCGACAGGCCGGTCTCTCCTCTTAATTCTCCTAATCCACCTGATACCACTCCCCCCGGGTCCACCACTGCACACTACCGCCCGTCCCATCCTCTCCATCCGGCTTGTACATCTCTACTTCAGTTCTTACGATTATTTTCCAGAGGTGTTAAGCGAGCGACCGCCTGCGTAAGCGCCGCCATTTCGTGGTGGAGCCGCTCGAGCATTTGCTCATGTCGAGCCAGAGCAGCTCCCTGAGCGATGAGTGCCTGAGCGACAGGGTCCTGAGCGGCTGGGTCCCGACCTGCTGAGTCCATGATGGCTGGATCGTTCTGTCAGGTTTCAGTTAACGGACTCAGGCGCAGACCGGGACTCCTTACAGGATTTACAGATTTTATTTACACAACGACACCAGGTGATGCTATTTACAAAGTGCTGGAGGGAGGGGAGGGGGGTCCAGGGTTCCGAGGTATGTGGTGATGCTATTTACAAAGTGCTGGAGGGAGGGGAGGGGGGTCCAGGGTTCCGAGGTATGTGAGGGAAAAGACGGGAATCTGACGTCCTCCAAAGGCTCTCTCTCTTCACTCCCCACACTGGGGAAACACCATCCACTCACTCGTCCACGGGATGACAGGCAGGCAGGGAAAGGTCCAGGATAGATCTGTACACAGAGATTATAGTTAGAGGCGAACAGACGGAACGAACTCACAGATCCTTATTTACAATCTACTGAGCGACTGACGCTGATAACTCAACGATCCAGCGACGAGTGACACAGTGCTGCTGTCTTAAATCGGCCTTGTGATTATCCCGATCAGCAGCAGGTGCGTGGGCCAGGGGCGGGAGCCCATAATGAGCATCGCCCCGGCAGGAGAGAGAGCAAGAGAGAGAGAGAGAGAGAGAGAGAAAACATGTTGCCTAATACAGAATCAGCTGGTGAGGCACAGGGACCATGACAGCTACCGCTGCGTCTTTTAAAAAAATTATTTATTATTTAAAGAGTTTAATTTCTATTGTTTGTCCACTCAAGGTTTATAGGGATTTTAAAAAGTATTTAGTTAAATTACTTATTGAGTAATTAAGTTACTTTTCAGACACAGTAATTAGATAAGTATTGATTAAGTAATCAGTAATTAATTACTTTTTAAAAGTAACTTACTCAACACTGGTTACTTCCCACCTCTTGTGTCAAGACTGATAGAATAAGTCTTGTTGCTGCTCACTGGTTAAGCAGTGTTTCCATTTCACAGCACTGAAGCAGAGACCCAGTGAACTCTTGACCCTTCATCGTAGCAGTTACTGGAAAGTCATTAGAGGAACTGTGTGGAATTTCCTTCAGGCTCAGCCCTCTGCAGTTCACGAGCAACCGAAAAACATCTGACAATCCACCACTACTACAATACTTGCCTTACTTGTGCTTTATTAACATAATGATGAAATAATATCAGTAGATGGGAATACAAACTTTAAAAAAATCTAATTATACTGAGCTTGAAGCTGAAGAAAAGAAGGAAACTAAAAAGTATTTCTATTTACCGTTGTCCACATTGTAGAGGGTGACTTTTCCTCTAAACAGGAGAATGTGTCAGTCAGTCAGATGAGCAGTCCTTACCTTTAAATCTACCCTCTCTTCTTCCTCTCTCTGTTTGTGAGCTGATAGTAACACTGCATTTAAAATGACCTGACACTTAAAAAACGCCACTCCCTTTATGCTCGCTCCTCTTCAGTAGCACAAACTAGATGTTGAAGTACCACAACTTACAGACACCTGCAGTTGTTCCGGTGTTGTGCAAAAACAAAACAAACACAGTTCCACTTTTAACCCCAGACTTTGGCACAGTAATCTCTTTTTACGTGACATCCTCTGGCGGTTAATAAACAGCCTGCCATATGTTTCTGTTTAGGCTGAAATTAGTTTCATGTTTGGAGCCTTACAATGACAGAACTGCATTAAGCAAAGGTAACAAGCCTTTTTACAAAATGTAAGGAGTACAAAGTACAGATATTTGTAGTACAAAGTCAGAAAAAAAAGCAACCCAAAAACATCTGCCAGTACAATACAAATTAAGAGTGTGTGTGCGTATCTCGGCACCTCCCCTTCCTGTTATTGGTCTGTGCTTAAATGCTGGTGTTTCTAACGTTTTCTCTTGTTTTGAAAGCTCAGAGAACCAGTGAAGACAAAAGAAGGTAAGAAAAACATTTTACACTGATGAACAGCTTAAGAGAATCAGAAATCTTTGTAAAATCATGAATGTAATACGTGGTAACATGTTTCTGAGGAAGTCAGAGATAATAAATCTGTGCATAAAACCGGTGTCAGCTCTTTTGTCTGGGCCGTACATAAATCATTTGTACAGCTGGCCAAAGGTATTTGTTGTCATTTATATGAACCAGGAATCATCCTGTTATAACATGTATCAAAACCAGTCTTTCACCTTTTTCATGCTGAATTTCTCTAACCAGATAACCACTACAGCATTTCAATCTGTGTCTGTGTTTCCTACAGGCATGGCCGTCCACCAGCAGCCCACCCAGGTGGTGACAGTCATCAGGACCATTGAAAACTCTGGCCAATGGAGCACCGACCTCTGTGATTGCTGCTCTGATATGGAGAGCTGTAAGTAAACCCAGGAAACCCTACAAACAGCAGTGATTTCTACATGAGCGATTTCCTCAGACTTTGTTTGCAACAAGCTAATCGAGTGTTTGAAGTCAGTAAAAAATCAAGAGTAAATGAACTATCTGAGACTACATGATAGCAATGATCATTTAGTAGCATTATGGAGTTTTTCATTATTTTACATTTTTCACCAGAAAACCAAGTTTTCGTAATTGGAGTGGAAATGTCTCAAATGTTCAACTTAAACTTAATGACTCCTTTTATTATAGCATAAAAAATCAGACTTAGAGTGTCCCAATTTTTTTTTACTATCAATAAATAATAATAAATATAATAATAATAATAATAATAATAATAATAATAATAATAATAATAATAAATAATAATAATAATAATAAAATAGAAGTCCAGTCTCTCTGTGGTTGGATTCAGGGAAAGTTGAAATAGCAAAAATTCAAAGTTTTTTTGCTCCCCTGGAACATCCAGGTTGGTTGGTTTGTTGTAGTTAATAAAAAAATAGTAAATATATACATAAATATTTATTTATATATGTATATTTCTCCCCAAAGGTTGCTGTGGCCTTTGCTGTTTCCCCTGCATGCAGTGTGATGCAGCCAATAAACATGGATGGTGCTGTGCAATGCCACTCCTGGACGTTTGTGGTGTGGTGTCCTGCTTACTCCGTGGATCCATCAGAGAGCGCCACAACATCTATGTAAGGCTGGATTAGAGATGGAGGACACTGTTACAAACTACACTTAAAAGATAGATGTGGTCACTAGAGGAAGTGCACTTTTATAACTTCTGCACTGGCTTCATTTTTAAGCCCTGGAGGTTTCTGCTTGTAAAATGAACTAACATAACATCTAAATGTAAATTTTATGAGATTCATATAAAATGCACACAAATTGTGCTTTGTGCAGATCCTTCTCACTCACCGTCACCTCTTCAATAGCTCCCAGATGTCTCTGTGTCCTCATTATTTGTTTATAAGTAACCACATCATGTAGTGCCATCATAAACGTGACCTGGATAAAACTTGTGGTATTTTGCAATCCGTGGAAGTTATAAAGGAGTAGCTTGAGTTGAGAAAGAGGAAGAGTAAAGTTCTTCAAATCTGAAATCTCTTGCCCTCATTGTGGGTATATATATATATATATTAGGGGTGCAACAATACTCGTACTTGGACATACACAACAATAAAGCCTTGACTGTCTTTATTAGGGTAAACACTCATTTTTTGCCTTCTTCTTTTTGTCTGGTGAGTTGTTCAGACAAAATCAACCAACAAATGGTCAGAATTATAGATAATTGAGAAAACAGGAATTAAATCCCCCCCCCCTCCCAAAAAAAAACAACAACAAAAAAAACAAACTAAATAAAAATGTTTGAGGTTTAGTCTTCCTACTGTTCTATGCATTTGTAATAGGTAAGTAAGAAAAGTTTAAGAAGTTCTTGGGAATATTGTCTCCCGATTTTTACAGACCCAAAATGGGACCTAAAATTCCCAAACTGTAAAACAATGCTTAACCTTTCACATGAGGCATACTGAGTGTCAGCTAAGCAATGGAAACAGGCTACAATTTGATATTCTGGTGTGACGAGTCTCGATTTCTGCAAAAACATTCAGATGTTAGGGTCAGTGTTTGCTGTAAACATGAAAATATAGAACAGTTCAGGCTGGTGATGGCGCGATGATGCTGGTGATATTTTTAGGCACACTTTGGGTCCCTTAGTACTAACTAGCATGCTAGTATTTAGGACTAGCATCATTTAAACACCAGAGCCTAACTGACCATTGTTATGAGCATTGTTATCACCTCCACTGACTAAGTGACTAAGTGATGATAGAAATATAACACAGAATTCAACAACAAGTATAGCTGTATGTGAATTTGCTGAAGCTAATCTTTTTAGGAGCAAAGATATATTTCATTTGATGTAACAAATATACATATTTTGTTTGATGTAGTGAATAAGCAGAAAAGTTTCAAATTAAAATGTGTTGATTCTGAATACTGAAGTGTCATCTGAGTTGCTGAGTTAGGCAACCGGATGTGTGAGCCATAGGGCATCTGCTCAAGAGAAGGACAGAGAGATGATAAAATCATGGAAAACTATATATAGTTGTGGTTGGACGTTTGTATCCACTCATCATTGGTCATTGGTCAAGGCCAAAATCACTCATTGGTGATTTTGGTCTTTTAATTATTTCATGCACTGTTCTTTTTCCAGCATAGAATAATTGCACAGCACACGTCTTTGATGACTTTGAAAACTAAAAGTTGTGTGCATAAATTTTAATTTATTTTTCTACATGTCTTTTGACCTAACAAGATTGAGGCCTGTCAACTTCTTGTTGGTGATGATGATTGACTACAAGTGCAGCATAAAAGCATTTGGACTGACCAATACTTTGAAAAAAAGTAAAGCCCAAGAAAATCAGTGAAGATCTAAGAAGACCAGTTGTAGATTTACACAAGTTGATTGTTCATATAAGAGGGCAAAATAAAGAAAGCGATTCTTCTCGTGTAGATTTTTTCTTCTTTTATGAGCTACAGCTCTCACTGCTGTTACTGACAGTTTCTCAACTAGTGTGTGATCAACATCTACATTTCTGAGTAAATATTAGGAGGTATTTCAGGGTTTAAAGCATGTGATTTCTCGGCCAGCATCATCTGCCTGATTCCAAGTACAAATTTCGTAAGTCATGCCATAAACGGAGTTTGCAGATTTCTTGCTTCCTCATTTTCATGTTGCCGATGTGCATGTTACACAGATGTTACAACAGACAGTTTCTCATCATATTGTGTATTAAAAACATTCAGGTTACTATAGACAAGTTTATTGAGCTTTTACCCTCTTTGATAATTATTTGTTACACTTTTGTGGTATTTTGTTGTTATGAATTCTGAACAAGTTAGTACATTTCAAACAGGCATTTGGGATCAAACATTTTTTAGAGATTCAGAACAGTTCCCTTTTTGAGGTTTGGTTTCTCTTTTTTTTGTTTTTCTCAGCGTCTTAAGATCCTCTTTTCCAAAACTCAAACTCAAAAGAAACATAAATAATAAAACAGAATACGATTTTTGATTTTTGTAGAGCAAGTCCAAGTGGAACTGATAAGGAGGATCGATAGGCAGGCAGACTAACAATTCCAAGGAAATGATCTACTGGTGCGCAATTCCCATCCCTAGACAGGACTATTTATACACATCCAGTACGATTGATCACCTGTTGCAAAAATAGTAGAGTTTATTCTTACACGGTTACACCGTGCAACAGATTGCAACTACCTGCGATTTTATTGGTTTTATTGACGTTTGATCTCACCTTGTAATTCATTGTGATACCCGTGCAACCCATGCAAGACATACACTAGTTATGTACCATATTGTCTGAGCCAAAAACTTAAAGAAGCAGCTTTGACAGCACGGCACTGCCTGTGAAATCAACTAAAGACACAAGCTAGCTCATTAGCAGCTAAAAATGGCATCTTGTTTGTTTAATTAAAGTGCCAACATGTCTTGTTTCTTTAATCATTTAATCATCTTCAATAATTTTCCTTACAAATGTGACACTATTTAAGGGGAACTAACAGCAATATAAGATTTATTCTCCATTAAAGAAAACAGACATTCCTCCAGTCATAACAAGTATCATCGGTGCACCTACTAAACCTCAGGTTGTCCTAGATGTGTCCATTGGAGTGTGGATGTTGGACAAGGTGCTGTGGAATAGTAAAAAGCAGTGTATGGATGTGTGTGTGTGTGTGTGTGTGTGTGTGTGTGTGCGTGGTAAAGAAACGCTCTGACACACACACACACACACACACACACACACACACACACACACACACACACACACACACACACTCATGTACAGTACAGATACCTGAAGTACAGTAATGAAGTATTTGTACTTCGTTACTTCCAGTGTTGGGTGTAACGCATAACACGTTACTGTAATTAAATTACTTTTCCACTGAAAAAGTAGAGTAACTGATTACTGTTCATTTTTAGGTATTTTAATTACAGTTACTTACAAAGTACTTGCGTTACATTGTAAAATAATCAAACTCGCTGAATATCATTAATTAATTATTCAATAATTTGTCTTCTAAAGGTAAAAGTAAACTCTGCCACTTTAACATCGCTGTAGTGCAGCTGCACGTCATTTCGTGCCAGTTTGCTGCATAGTCATATTCTAAAGATGTCGGAGTCGGCTGAAGCGAGTGGCTGTTTTATGAAATGGACATATTCCCGTCTCTTCACTTTTGTGAAACAAGCAGACAAGAACATTACAGTAATATGTAAAAACTATCGGCTGCTGTTAATAGCGCAAGTAATCTACTGAAGCGCCTGACACGAGAGCATAGACGAACACTTCTGAGTGATCCTTGTTCATCATCCATGGATAACACCGCGGCAACTCCTGCTAAGCAGGCAAAGCTTGATTTTACTTCAGCAGCACAGAAAGCGTCTGAAGGCGAGCTTAAAAAATGATTGCAGGCTACATTGTGGAAGAGCTGCTACCGCTGCGTCTTTTTAAAAAAATTATTTATTATTTAAAGAGTTTAATTTCTATTGTTTGTCCACTCAAGGTTTATAGGGATTTAAAAAAGTATTTAGTTAAATTACTTATTGAGTAATTAAGTTACTTTTCAGACACAGTAATTAGATAATATTGATTAAGCAATTAGTAATTAATTACTTTTTAAAAGTAACTTACTCAACACTGGTTACTTCCCACCTCTTGTGTCAAGACTGATAGAATAAGTCTTGTTGCTGCTCACTGGTTAAGCAGTGTTTCCATTTCACAGCACGAGCAACCGAAAAACATCTGACAATCCACCACTACTACAATACTTGCCTTACTTGTGCTTTATTAACATAATGATAAAATAATATCAGTAGATGGGAATACAAACTTTTAAAAAAATCTAATTATACTGAGCTTGAAGCTGAAGAAAAGAAGGAAACTAAAAAGTATTTCTATTTACCATTGTCCACATTGTAGAGGGTGACTTTTCCTCTAAACAGGAGAATGTGTCAGTCAGTCAGATGAGCAGTCCTTACCTTTAAATCTACCCTCTCTTCTTCCTCTCTCTGTTTGTGAGCTGATAGTAACACTGCATTTAAAATGACCTGACACTTAAAAAACGTCACTCCCTTTATGCTCGCTCCTCTTCAGTAGCACAAGCTAGATGCTGAATTACCACAACTTACAGACACCTGCAGTTGTTCCGGTGTTGTGCAAAAACAAAACAAACACAGTTCCACTTTTAACCCCAGACTTTGGCACAGTAATCTCTTTTTACGTGACATCCTCTGGCGGTTAATAAACAGCCTGCCATATGTTTCTGTTTAGGCTGAAATTAGTTTCATGTTTGGAGCCTTACAATGACAGAACTGCATTAAGCAAAGGTAACAAGCCTTTTTACAAAATGTAAGGAGTACAAAGTACAGATATTTGTAGTACAAAGTCAGAAAAAAAAGCAACCCAAAAACATCTGCCAGTACAATACAAATTAAGAGTGTGTGTGCGTATCTCGGCACCTCCCCTTCCTGTTATTGGTCTGTGCTTAAATGCTGGTGTTTCTAACGTTTTCTCTTGTTTTGAAAGCTCAGAGAACCAGTGAAGACAAAAGAAGGTAAGAAAAACATTTTACACTGATGAACAGCTTAAGAGAATCAGAAATCTTTGTAAAATCATGAATGTAATACGTGGTAACATGTTTCTGAGGAAGTCAGAGATAATAAATCTGTGCATAAAACCGGTGTCAGCTCTTTTGTCTGGGCCGTACATAAATCATTTGTACAGCTGGCGAAAGGTATTTGTTGTCATTTATATGAACCAGGAATCATCTTGTTATAACATGGATCAAAATCAGTCTTTTACCTTTTTCATAATCTAGCATTAAACTTCTCTTTTCACAAGATAACCACTACAGCATTTCAATCTGTGTCTGTGTTTCCTACAGGCATGGCCGTCCACCAGCAGCCCACCCAGGTGGTGACAGTCATCAGGACCATTGAAAACTCTGGCCAATGGAGCACCGACCTCTGTGATTGCTGCTCTGATATGGAGAGCTGTAAGTAAACCCAGGAAACCCTACAAACAGCAGTGATTTCTACATGAGCGATTTCCTCAGACTTTGTTTGCAATAAGCTAACCGAGTGTTTGAAGTCAGTAAAAAATCAAGAGTAAATGAACTATCTGAGACTACATGATAGCAATGATCATTTAGTAGCATTATGGAGTTTTTCATTATTTTACATTTTTCACCAGAAAACCAAGTTTTCGTAATTGGAGTGGAAATGTCTCAAATGTTCAACTTAAACTTAATGACTCCTTTTATTATAGCATAAAAAATCAGACTTAGAGTGTCCCAAATTTTTTTTTTTACTACTACTACTACTACTACTACTACTACTACTAATAATAATAATAATAATAATAATAATAATAATAATAATAATAATAATAATAATAATAATAAAATAGAAGTCCAGTCTCTCTGTGGTTGGATTCAGGGAAAGTTGAAATAGCAAAAATTCAAAGTTTTTTTGCTCCCCTGGAACATCCAGGTTGGTTGGTTTGTTGTAGTTAATAAAAAAATAGTAAATAAAATATATACATAAATATTTATTTATATATGTATATATTTCTCCCCAAAGGTTGCTGTGGCCTTTGCTGTTTTCCCTGCATGCAGTGTGATGCAGCCAATAAACATGGATGGTGCTGTGCAATGCCACTCCTGGACGTTTGTGGTGTGGTGTCCTGCTTACTCCGTGGATCCATCAGAGAGCGCCACAACATCTATGTAAGGCTGGATTAGAGATGGAGGACACTGTTACAAACTACACTTAAAAGATAGATGTGGTCACTAGAGGAAGTGCACTTTTATAACTTCTGCACTGGCTTCATTTTTAAGCCCTGGAGGTTTCTGCTTGTAAAATGAACTAACATAACATCTAAATGTAAATTTTATGAGATTCAAAAAATGCACACAAATTGTGCTTTGTGCAGATCCTTCTCACTCACCCTCACCTCTCATGGTCAAACTGACATAAAGTAACCATATCATGCAGTGCCATCATAAAAGTGACCTGGATAAAACTTGTGGTATTTTGCAAACCGTAGAGTTTATAAAGGAGTAGCTTGAGTTGAGAAAGAGGAAGTGTAAAGTTCTTCAAATCTGAACTCTCTTGCCCTCACTGTGGGGAAAACAGCTGCGGCTTCTTGTTTTGACAAACTCTCAGATATTTGGTTACCCAGCTCTACACAGGGACACAGCTGCCGGATGAGGGGATGACAACACCCCACTAAACTTTTATGTCTGAGGGGTAACAACAGTAACTCCTGCTGCTTCATCCTCTGTCTATCTGCTTCTTCTCCTCCATCCTGCAGGGCTCGTTCACTGATGACTGCTGTAAAGTGTGCTTTTGCTACCCGTGTGTTTGGTGCCAGATGCATCGTGAGCTGAAGCTCAGGCAATACCATTAGCCCGCCACCTCTACTGTGATCACCACGCAAGTCGTCTGTGGGCCTATGTCACTGCTGAACCAAATTGCTTTAAATCTGTTGTCATATAATGTGTTGAACGCCTATGTGACTTTTTCAGGCCAATAAAATCCTGTAATTCTATGCAACATCATGTGTGAGATTAATTGTCCTCTTCTGCAGAGTTGAGTTTAACCAGTGTTCAGATAAAGACTTGTCATTAATTGTGAACTTTGATAGGATACAGAGAAGGACATTGTAAGGTCACACTGTCCATTCATATAACATTTCACAGTATTATAATATTTGTAAATGAAATACAGTGGCTTGCAAAAGTATTCGGCCCCCTTGAACTTTTCCACATTTTGTCACATTACAGCCACAAACATGAATCAATTTTATTGGAATTCCACATGTGGAATATACAAAGTGGTGTACATGTGAGAAGTGGAACGAAAATCATATGTGATTCCAAACATTTTTTACAAATAAATAACTGAAAAGTGGGGTGTGCGTAATTATTCAGCCCCCTGAGTCAATACTTTGTAGAACCACCTTTTGCTGCAATTACAGCTGCCAGTCTTTTAGGGTCTGTCTCTACCAGCTTTGCACATCTAGAGCCTGAAATCCTTGCCCATTCTTCTTTGCAAAACATCTAATCAGTCAGATTAGATGGACAGCGTTTGTGAACAGCAGTTTTCAGATCTTGCCACAGATTCTTGATTGGATTTAGATCTGGACTTTGACTGGGCCATTCTAACACATGGATATGCTTTGCTCCCTCATCTGTATTAATCATTCACAGTGCAGCAGCTCTACTCCTGACAGGGACACACAAGCAAGACCATATTTCCCCTGTTTTTGCTTCTTTACACTTTTTCAATTCAATTTCAATACAATTTTAGAGCCAAATCACAACACCAGTCGCCTCAAGGCGCTTCATATTGTAAGGCAGACCCTACAATAATACATACAGAGAAAACATCAACAATCATATGACTCCCTATGAGCAAGCACTTTGGCGACAGTGGGAACAAAAAACTCCCTTTTAACAGGAAAAATCCTCCAGCACAGCCAGACTCAGGGAGGGGCGGGGCCATCTGCTGAGGCAGGTTGGGGTGAGGGGAGGAACACAGGAAAAAAGACTTGCTGTGGAAGAGAGCCAGAGATTAAAAATAAGTAATGATTCAATTCATAGAGGTCTATTAAGGATAGATAAAGTTGGGTGTCATTGGCTTTTGGTCTATATGAGTAACTTATCATGACCAAACATTTGATGATCGTCTTTGCATCATTCACGCAAAACTTAAATTTTATTAACGGTCACTCACATCAACCATAACATGCCAGCTGATGTGAACCTGATCAGATGTTGTGGTTTTGGAAACACAGAAGCTCTTTTTGCTGTTACATGATATTACTTACAAGTAACAGATTACACCAGTAAGTAGCACACAGGTCTGGCCCAGATCTGGTGTCAAGCCGGCACTGCTGGCTGACTTGTGGCATGGTAAGTGGTATGTCATCCAGATACGGGCCAGGCCCGGCGTAGATGGTACTGTTTATGCGGTGGCATGCCACATCTGGCCCAATTGTGGTTTGGTTTATGTGGCCCAGGCTCATAGAAAGCAGGTCTGAGTAACTGGTGTCATGGCAGGGTGTAGGTCAACCAGATGTGGGCCAGGTCTGGCAATGATGCCCCTATTTATGTTCCTATTTTGCTACTTTAGTTTGAAGACCCAAATGCCATGTTGCAATCCAATACTGCTATGGTAGCCAATGCTTCAAATGCAGGTTTGTGAGTGTACACTTAATCCAAAACCTAGTGAGGGCTTACTCATGTGTACCACTGGTTGGCTGTAGCTCAGGAGGTAGAGCAGGTCACCTCCTGACTGGAAGATTTGTGGTTCGATCCCTGGCTTCTCTAGTCTGCATGTCAAAAGTGTCAATGTAGTTAAGAAGTGTGCAATTTAGAGAAAGTGTGTGACTGATTGAATGTGGCTTGTTGTACAGATCACTTTGAGTAATCTGGGAAAGTAGAAAAGCACTATATAAGAATCAGTCCGTTCATTTTCTGAACAGAGTTTTGTCGTGGTACTTTTGCACTATTATGTCCTGGTACATGTTGTTATTACATGGCTTGATTAAGGTACACATTAGGTACACATTAGGCTGACATCTTGGGCCAGAGCTGAAACTGTTCTGGGCCAGCACAGGGCCAGCAGTGTGTCTGCAACTGGCCTAGTGCTGGCCCATGTGTGGGCCATCTCTGGCAAACCAGATCTGGGCCACCAAAGGGCCGTCATTCTTTGCGGTATGTGGGCCATGTGTAAGCACATTGTGTGGACCAGATCCAGGCCATACCAATTTGGCTATGTGGGATGTAACAGCATTTTTGTGACCTACAACACTATTTCCACATGGATAAGTAAATATTTATCTATGTACATGTGCATTATTATCCAGTTAATCTCCTCTAGCAGCTCATTTAGTCATGGCTTCCAAGCATTCTTTTGTCTGTATGTCAGTAAATGTAGTGAAAGACTGACATATTGGGGCCAAATGTTTATGAATGTAACCAGTTTAGTTTGTTTGAGTGTGTGTGTTTGGAATGATTGCAGAAGTATTAACAGACTGACACAAGGGGGTTTAACATTTCACTCCTACCTCTATGTTCGCAAAATAAAAAAGTAGCCCAGCCACATCATGGCAGAATAGTAATATATTAAAAAACAGCATTTTCTATAGACTTTGTCTTCTTGACCATTTGTCTGTGAGGATCTGGGCAGGCTGGGGCTGGTTCTGTTTGTAGTTTATGCTTGGTATGCTGTGGGCGGAGCTGCAGGGGCTGAGGTTTGTTCCACTCAGCTGTGTTTGAGCTCCGTCATTGGGGCGGCGTATTAAGAAGAAGCCAGAGTGGGAGTTGTTATTGCAGCATTTGTGGTAACATTTAAACATTTAAGGCTCTCTGATGTTTGGCCCTGCTGCTGTACTTCAAGTTGTAACCTTGTTTGCTGTGATCTTTCACTCATCCGGATCACACCACCATATTTGGATTCTCAGAGAAACTTGACCCTGCAAATATTAAGCTTCCTGGATTAAACTACAGTGTGACAAGTAAGCAGTATTCATTTGTTCCCATTTATTAATTTAGTTACAGCCAGATTTAGAGTTATTTATCTCTAACTTCTCTTTTCTCCCTCTTTCTTTTTTTTAAACCTGTCGTGTCAGGCACTTTTAGTAAACACATGGTCTGAATGCTTTGTTGAGCCAAACACATTTGCTTTGCCAAGAGGAGCGCTGTAGACTCTGTATAGGCTCCCATTGGTACTCATTTCAGTTTATTTTATTATTCACATTATTATCAGACTGGTTATTATGCCACGGCTGACAGGGGGTGAGGGCCAGGTTGGCAAAAGATAGAAGAAGAGATAATAATAAAGACAAGAAGGAGGAGGGATAGAAAAAGAAACGAAACAGAAAGAGAGAGAGAAAGAGGGGAGGGAATGGATGCCCATAGTCAAAAGGCAAGAGCCCCAGACAACCAGACGCAATGGGCGGACCACCCTGGCAGAGGACGGTGGCCATGGCACGAGCCGAGGAAAAGTCAGATGGGGTGGCTGTGCGCTAAAGAGGTTCAAAACATCCCAACTGCATCCCCTGAGGGCACAGGCCAGAAATCATGCCACAACACCTTGTCAGGTTCCCTGGAGCTACACGTCCAGTATGGGTTGTTGTAACAACGAGTGGGGAGCAGCAGGGAGGGGAACCCACCCTCCATAACAATGTCCCACAGGGAGAACCCCAGATCCAGGCATAGCAACACACACACACATCTGTGTAGTTTCTCCGCCTGTCAGGGTTCCTGGGTCGTTGACCCAGCGTTTTCAGTTCATGTTCACTGTTTATTTTCCACATGTTCCATTTCCTGTTTCATTATGTTCAGCTGTGTACTCACCGGTCTCTCATTATCATCCTCATCAGTCCCTGTATTAAAACCCTCAGTTTCTCTCTGTTCTGGGTCGTGTCATTGTTGGTGTGATGTTGTCGTTTCCGTGTGTGCTTTCAGTTCAGCCAGTCAGCGTTCGTTCACGTTCTGTTGATCCATTTTGTATAATAAACGCCATTCTCATCTTCAATCAAGCCACGAGTCCTTGTCCTCTCTTCCTCTCATCCACGCACAAACCCCTGACACCGTCATCCAGGTCATGGTAATCTAACGAGGTTGGAATGAAAGCGACTGGACTTCTTTAAGTTTCTTAAAGATTTAACATCTTATCCATAAAACTTCTTCAGTTCTATGATCAAATAGTGGTGAGTCCCAGGTATTTAAATCCTAGCAGGAGTGTCCCTTAAGAGGGTCGATCACGTGCCTCATCACATGTGCCAAGGTGTGACAAAAGGCGTTGACTGAGTCTCGTCTCTTCCATGTTGTGCCATGCGTTTACGAAGTGGCTCTTTGGTTTCTCCAATGTAGAAGTCTGAGCTCTCCTCGCTGCATTGCAGAGCAAATACCACGTTGTTTAGTTGGTGTTTGGGAGTTTTGTCCTTGGGATGAACCAGTTTTTGTCTGAGTGTGTTTCTGGGTTTGAAGTTTGCTGGGATGCTGTGCTTGGAGAAGATTCTCTGATAAGCTTGCTACAGAAGGAATCACAGTGTTGCTGACATGCCATGTTTGTATGAAAACTAGAGCACTATTAACACTGAGACTGCTGCTCAGCAGTGCTCATCCACACCTCCCTCTTTAAGATGAGCACACGAAATCTGCACTCAATTCAATTCAATTCAATTTTATTTATATAGCGCCAAATCACAACATAAGTCGCCTCAAGGCGCTTCATAGATACAGA